GCATAAGAAAGCTAACACAGTATAAACTACACTAGAATTGGGGGTGATTTTCTAAGAAGAATTCTAAAGTTACAACATTGCTGAAAAAAACTATAAAAACACTGACTGACAGATTAAAACACACAGTCATATATATTATATTGAAACATATGAAGTCTGCTCCCATGTTGCATAGATATACAAACATATTTGTTCATTTATGGGCACTGATTACTTTATCCCAGGTAGAATATTTCAACTAAAAGAAATAATCAATAATACACCCCTCTTGTCAAATCTAGTTCATAAGTTACTCTGCTATGTAAACATAATGTGTCTAACATAGATCTAAAATTAGTGAAAAAGAGCTTTGTATGGTTTCTTGAACTCTTCTCAAAATTCCAAGCTTAATTTTAAAATAGATCTGAGAAGTATTTCTATATGATCTTTTCCCTTGTGAAATGAACAACACAGTCTGTTGTCAAAATTCTGTCCTTAAAATGATTCACGAGCACCGTATCCTAACAAAACTGCTGGACAGCATGGCACTACCCAGACACTGTGACCAAACAAATGAAACACAAGGAAGACAGTCACCCTATTCTGGAGGGCTTATAATCTGTGCCAACACTGGGGTTTTTATTTGATTGGTTTGATTGGGTAGAAAAATGAAATCAATCAAGTATTTTCTTCTTTGAGCATTGTGTAAGTCATGAATGTTTTTAGTGTCAAGAGAAGGAAAGACTTAAGCATGACTTGATTAGGTCAACTAGCAACAATCATCACTGGAGAGTGAGTAATAAAGAAGTTAACTGATAGCAATTCTTCTGCCTACATGAGACCTAAAATAAACCTTCACTGACCTCTGCAAGGAAAATGAGGAGATAAGGTCCCCAATGAGAAAACAAACTAACAAGAAATTAAAAAAGGAAAGACTTTTCCATTAACGATTCCAGGAAGGAGAGGAGCAAGCTGGTGAAGAGCACAGATGCTGGGGACAAACATGAGGGTCTGAACTCCCACAGCACTGGGTAGCTGTGACACTGATATGTCAGTGAAATTTTCTGCATCTCAGTCTCCTATCCATAGACTGGGGATAACAACAGCAAACTTCTCCTAGAACGGTCCTAAGAATTAAGTTATTTTTTATATAAAATTTAAATAACATATCTCAGATTTTAAATATTACCCAAAAAGCACAAGGAACCAAGAAAACAGAGATAAATTGGAGCTCATCAGAATTTAAAACTTTGCTTCAAAGACACCATACAGAAAATGAAAAAAAAATACCAGAGAAAATTTTTTCAAATCATTTATCTGATTAGGAATTTGTATCTCCAAATAAAAAAAAAAATCCTACAACTCAACAATAAAAAGGCAACTCAATTAAAAAGTGAATTATGGATCTGAAAATGTATTTTTCAAAGAAAATATACAAATGGCCCATAAGCACAATGAAACGATGTTCAATATCTTTAGCTGTAAGGGAAATAAATTCAAAACCACTAGGAGAAACAACTTTGCACTCACTACAATAGGTTATAATAAAAAAACAGTAACAAGCACCAATGAGGACACAGAGGAAGTGGAGCTCGCAGCCCTTGCTGTTTAGGACGTAACACAGTGTCGTCACTCTCGACAACAGCCTGGCAGGGCCTCAGAGAGTTAAACATTTGGTTTCTAAATGACCCAGCAATTCTGCTCTCTGGGCACACATGTAAGAGAACTGAAAAATAATGTCCACATAAAAACTCCTACAGGAATGTTCACGACGCCATTATTCATCACAGCCAAAAAGCAGAATCAACCAAAATGCCTATCACCTGATGAATGGGTAAACAGTGGGGCCTAGCCACACAGTGGAATATTATTCAGCAATAGCAAAGCATAGAGAACTGACCCAGGCCACAACGTGGACAAACATTGAAAACGTTACTCAGTGTGAAAGAAGGCAGTCACAATAGATGGTTCCATTCATATGAAATGACTCAATTTACATGAAATGTTCAACACAGGCAAATCCACAGAGAGAGAAGAGTGGCTCCTTGGGGCTGGGGGAGGATGGGGAAAATGGGAAAGACAGCTTATGCATACGGGTCTTCCTGTTGGGGGGATGAAAATTTTCTAAGATTGACTGGGATGCACAATTCTCGGCATGCAGTAAAAACCGCTGTGTATTTTAATGGGTGAATTGTATTAAAACTGTTAAGAACAAAAGCACCTCGGGCCAGTACCTTCAAATAGTAAATGCAAATTGCTAACTTTTATTACAGGAAGAAGATACTGCCCTCAGCATGAAAGCTAGGCGATCAACAAATGTGGGTTAACTGAAATTGGATAAGAGCATTTCACTTGAAACAGTTGCTGAGTGTACATGAAATATTCAGAAATAGGAAAATCAGCTTGATATCATGAAGAAGCATTCTGCTTCAAATGCAGATCAAGGATTTAGCACGCCCAGCTGCTAGAAATGACCAGAGAAGAAACCTGGTTCTTAAAACCAGCACCAGAGCCAACTAGGAAATGGTGGTGAGGAAAGCAAGCTGCCGAAAATCTGGAACAGTTTGCTACAAATAATTTCTCCACTGAAAATTCAAAAATAAAATGAAAGTGATGCAATTCTGTGCTGGCCTCAAATGAATGGGATTCCTCCGGTGCTCGACAGTTTTGTAACCCAGAATGAGAGACTCAGGAGAATCAGTATGGCTCCTGGGTGCCCCATGTGACTGCCCACCAACACGCTGACCACCATCACATCTGCCAGGGTTGTATTGCAGAGAAGAGACCAACTTCTGAAAGGCACAGGAAATGTTGACCAGGGAAGAAAAGGCTGTGGTCAGTCCTGGGACAGAGGCCCAGTGAGCAGAGGCCAGAAGGCTGCAGGTGAACTGGAGTGGCCCTGGAGCAGGAAGGGACCACAAGGAAGCAGATCTCAATTATCTTCTCTCTCTCCCTCTGGTAATAGAGATAAACCTGTATCCTTCTCACCTGGAACTGTGGGTTCTGACTGTCAGAAGTCTTACTGACATGGAATGATTATTCAAGACTGTGGAAAAAGTCCAGAAAGCAAGGGGGAGTAGGGAGCCAACTCCACAAGCCTCTCAAATTCTCCCATATTTATTGTGCATTATCAAAGGAAATAGTCATTAACAGTTGTGTGATAGTAAGCAGGAACTTGGGGAAAGTCTGGATGAGGCAGAGATTGTAGAATCCACCACGAGTACAAAGTCTTAGTGTATCTTTAGGGAAGTCATGGGGTGAGGGGAACAAAATAAATTCTTTAGATATGTGAATTACAAAGCAGACCACCAGACCAGCCAGGTCCTTGTTTTGGGGATAATAGACTATCTAACAGCACACAAGCCCAGTGTTTATAGCTGAGGTCCTGGGTCCTTGCTTTGCAATAAGCAGAGTGCTATCTAAAACCTCAATTATGCAAGAAAAGCATTGTCTCTGCTTTTTAAGGCAAGGAAACAGGAGTGAGGATGAACAGGCCCCTGCTTGCAAAGCAGTTACTAAGCATATTTTTTTCTTCTAAAAGTTGACAGGCGGCAGGGGTCTGTTACAATATGTTAACCCAATCAAGGGCTCCAACATGGAACCATTATGGAGAACACCCTGGGATGACAAATCCTGGTTTTGGGTATTTTCCTACCAGCTTTGGCCACTCTAGCAGGGTCTAGGCACATCCCGGATAACGATCCCACAGAACCACCCACACTCTTAACTCCTGGTGCTTGAAACTTAATTTTAGTTCTACAGAACTTAACGTAGAAAAGTTTCAGAAATAAAAGATATTATATACATTTTATAGCTCATCATAGGACTGATTTTTCTGATTGCTCTAAGCTGCTTCTACTTGGTAAAGCACCTAACTCTGCAGGTGAAATCAATAATTTCCATTGGGCATAACTAGCCAGTTTGGGCTCGCTAACTTCTATTGGTCAAATAGTGATACACTTAATTCATTTCATTGTTCATCAGTTTCAGCCGGGAGGAGAGGGAGTGTCAATCTCTTCTTCAGCCCACCCTCAACTCTTCTCATCAGCAACTCAGGCCTCCTGAAAACAAAACAAAGCATTTGTTTCCCTTCTTCTACACTTTCCACAAACACAACAGGAAACATCAGCCTGGAGAAAGAAATCAAGAAAAATGTTCAAGCAAAAATCTACAAACCTGAAGCAACTCCATCTCCGAATTATGATACAAAACGACATGAGAGTGTGTCAGGCACAAAGCATGCGTGAGCCTGACCACTTGATTTCTCTTCTGCAGAGGAAGGAAGGTTTTCGTATTTTTTACTATCACTCTTTGTCATTGATTCTGATTAAGACAAAAAATAGTTTATGAAATAATTTAGCACTGCAATAACAGAGTTTTGTTGTATCAATTACAGAAGGCATTCAGAGGGGATAGGAAAACCCACCTCTGTAAAAAATGCAAAATTTCTTCCCCTGTGAAGGACACGTATAAAAAATGCAACAGAGAATTCAAACTATTGTGGAGAGGAGCAAAAGCCACAGAACCAAAGCAAAGTAATACTATGAGTCAATTCAAAATTCACTGGATAAACATGCTCAATGCATTCAATGATATTTAAAGGCATACTGCAAACCATTCACTTGATGATCTGCAGGCTAGAAGAATTTCCCTCTTTAACAGACAGCAGAAATCAATAGGGTGCCCCACCAACGACCAAAGAACAATCATATTTTTAACAGTTCTGATAAATCAGCATGATCTGAAGTTCGAAATCCAAAAATTTTAAACATTCATTCACACCACAATGAAACAAGCACTTACAAAAAAAACAAACCAAGGAAACTAAGCACATAGATCATGTACACAGATCAATGAGAAATTCTTGTGCCGCTGGAAGAAAGAAAAGGCTATAGCCTTTTACTTGAAAAAAAAAACTACTTTTAAAGATAAATGCCAAAACACATTTCATCATTCATGTTGCCTTGAAAAATCTGAGGCACTTGTATCTGATTAGTAAAGCAATTCTGAGTAATAATATGTTATAATTCAGTGCCAGTTTGCTTTAGAAGAAAAGAGAAAAGAAAAGCTACTGTTTCTCATATCCTGCACAAAGTGTGAAGTGCCTGCCTGCCTCTTTCTCCTCCCGTTTTCTAAGCTCATGCTCCCTAACACTTCTGAAACAACTATGAGAAACCCTTATTCCACCAATATGCCAGATGACAAAAGAGTATTGATTTATTTGTTTAAATATATGCCTATACCTTGAACTGGAGGAGAAAGGTATCAGATGTCTATATGGAACTTCTTTCTACCTTCCTGAAATCACACACACAATCGTTCACACAGACACAGACATATTCCCCCTGGATTACTGGGCACTTCACAAGCTTAGGACTTACAACTTCTAGAAGATAACTTTGTAGTTAGTTTGAAATAAAAAATTGTCAATTTTTGAAAGCCCTGATCATCTGCTAATCCATCCAAATATCAAAGAGACCCAATTAGCCTTCTCTGTAGAATGTAATTTCCCATGATGGCAAAAGAGACCCTAAGAAGTACTGGATCCAAGTCTTGTGTTTATCACTAGTTATGATAATTTTAAGCACATTAACAGATTCAGAAAGGTATGTCCGAACAACATTTATTCTTATTGAAATAATATACGTGTTCAATTGCCTATACAGAGACCAGGTCCCATGATGGTGTTTAAGAGCTATTTTGTGTATTACAATATTTATTTTTACGTGCAGACAAGGAGGGTGGGTGTTACTCATTTGTAGAGCACCTGTTTAGCATGCACAATGTCCTGGCTTCAGTCCCCAGTACCTCCAAAAAAATAAATAAAAATAAGGGCATATTTATAAATAAGAATAAAGTTATAAAAAAATGCAGACTAAAACCACTGCAATCTAGATGTCACAGTTATAATTAAAAAAATGTTTCTATCAATTATTGACTGTATGCCAATCACAGAGACAACCACAAATCACAACTGTGAACCATCACGTGTGATTCTCAGCAACCCTACTAAGTAGACACGGATGAGAAACCCGGCACTGCGGATAAGGAGACGGATCTTGGAGGAGCCGGGGACGCTGACCGTCCTGCTCCCCGTGACACCGCGTCAGCCCAGGGCAAGCGCTGACAGAGCTGCACTGAGGGGACACCCTGCTACATGGAACGTTGGGGCACTGGGGAGTCCCAGAAAACACAAAAAATTGTTCACTGAAAAACCGGCTCAAATATATTACACTTGCCACATCCTTTAAACAGGGAACAAGACTGAGACCTTTATGATGCCTCCATGTCCTTTTTGCCATCATCAATTATTTGCCCTCTCAGCATGACCAGTGATGAACTGGGCCCCATATGATGTGCACCCAGATGGCAGAACTTTTAAAGCTGTTGTATGAAGTTTTTAAGACACTGTCTATGCCTCACACAGGCGGTCATCCATCACTTCTCACCGGTGTGGATGTACCACCTGAAATCACTCCTTTCTGCTTTTTGAAATCCCTTCATCTACTCCATATTTTCCAACAGCAAAGAAGCAGCTCAACCACAGACAGTGGACAGCTTCTCACCAAATGGACTCGAACTGCCCATCGGACTACCTGGAAGCCCTTATCTTCTATTAAACCCACTTCCAGGTACTTCATCATTTTCTGATTGGTGGACTTGACCTCTGACTGACCTACTCACAGAGCTCCAAGCCTCACATCCTGGGGTGGGAGAGGACCCTGCTGTTGGGAGAAATCAGTGAGGAAGTCGGATATCCTCCAAGCAGGTCTGCACGGGTAGAAGTGCCACAACGCGCTCAGAAATTATACCGTCAGCAACCCTGGGCTCCCATGGACTGGTTTCACATTAACCAAAGTCATGAGACACTGATGCAACAAAACCAGAAATTTGAATTATTAATGTACCAGAGGGCATGAAACTATGAACCAGACTGAAATATCAAAGTTCAACCATAAGTACATTTTCTCCTCAATGGCCCAAAAGCAGGCAGGCAGTCACATGGCAAGCGTAGACAGAAGCAGAGCAGGAAGAGTTTCTAGATTAACTCATGGACTAAATTTCTGTTATATGAACAGACCTACTGCCTGGAAACAATTAACGCTAATCACGGTGCACTCTTTGTGGACAGTGGCTGAGACACGACTGTGAGCACCTGTGTAACTCTCGTATCCCTGTCCTTTCTGGGCTAACTGATGCACAGAGTTACAGAGATCAAGGCATGCAGATACATCTAAACACCCAAGCCCAACTCTGTGAGCCTCAAAACCAGACAGCCAGGGTTTAAATACCAGCTCTGCCGCTTAGTAGCTCTGTGACCTTGGCCAACTTACTTACTCTCTGTGTGCCTCAATTTCCACATTGAAAAACTGGGATAACAATCAAACTTTCCTTACTCGCTTGTTGAGAAGATTGAAAGATTCATTTCTGTAAAACGCTCAGAAAAGAATGTAGCACATTTTTGGTGCTCAACAAATGTCAACTTAAAATTAAAGTGATTTACAAGTCTCCTTTCTAATCATCTTCTGTGTTTCCTGACTAGACCAAGTCCCCCCCCCCAAAAAAAACCTTATTCCTCCATTTATAAACTCTTGGGGTGCACCCTTCTATTCCATCCCACCACCTGTTTAAACTAAGGAAGGGGATGCTTCCTCCCCACTCCTCTGGGCCACGGAGAGTGCTTCTCCCTTCACACCGCTGACCCCTTGCTCACAGCTAGCCCTCGTCACACTAACAGTGAGGATTGAGTCCGGGGAGACAAGCAGAGCATGTGAAACCCTTCCTTTCCCTCCAGTGTTGTTGACCCTTGGGAAGCACCTGGGATGCTCAGCTCCATGGCAGGAGAGCCCTGTGCATGATGGGGCAGATCCTCTCAAGGGAAGGCTCACTGTGGCACACAGATACCTGGGACAGGGTGAGTCTATACCTCTGGGACACAGTATCATGACACGCATTTTCCCACAGCCCTGAAGTTCATGGGGAATGTGGCTCAATCAGTAACAATGAAGACATTTATCGCCTGCCTTCTCTTTTGTGTCATCTCTAAGTTGGCTGCTGGAGACAACATGTGTATAAGTATTGGATCCCCTTAAGCCACAACATATATGAAGTAACAAAAAATTCTGTGGCTTAACGTTGGTTCAGGGCGACTGTGTAACAGTTCTGACTTGCTGATGCTAAATTATGGGTATACGAATTATGGAACCTCCTCAAATATCTTTCATCATAAAACAAGCTTTTCTTATTTTCCTGTTTTTTAGAAATTGCCAAAGACTGTAAAATGATGGCTTCACACAAAACAGCAGCTAAACTTTATGAGCCCTCTTGACATACCCACTGTGGTAAACACTTTACATATTTTGCAATTCTCACAATTCTATAAAGCAGATACGGGCGTCCCCATCTCACAGACGAGGGAAAAATTCAGAACGACCTGACTCAGGCTCACGTGGCTCAGTGGCAGCACGTGCACGCAAAACCAAGTCAAAACACTGCACCCCTTCGTATATGTACCTAATCTCCTACCACCAATTTGCACACAGCGGCGGGGTCAATACTCAGGGAACTCAAAACAATTTTCAGCTGTAAGGTGCTCAAAAGGCCGCTTCTAGCTGTTTTATAAAATCCCGGCTCACTGGTTTCAAACACTTGAAGAAATGACCGATTTTGCCATTGTTTGCACAGCAAGTCTGAAATGTTCACAGCGAGATGACAGAATAAAACTAAGATATAAGCAGAATAATTTTTCCAGGTAGACAGACATAATGGACATTGTGCTATACTGAAGCATTAAGCATAGAAATCAAAACAAAATCACGTTGTTTAAGCCTTCTTTTACAAACAGGAAAATTAAGAGTGTAAGAAGGTGCAACAGCGCCACCTATGGCTAAAAAGACCTTCCAGGTTGCCGGGAAACACGCAACACAAAAATTGCCTCTAGTATGAGAAACGAGAATCAGATATCTAAAAGATTATGTAGCACATTCTGCACTTATCTTCGGGGGAAGGGCGGGGTATTCAGTATTTAATCTGATATTGCTAATAATCATGAATATAAACA